GATTCTATCCAAATCATCATGAATCACTTTAGTGGACTCTAAACTATTTGCCGAACCTCCCAATTTAGTGTCATCTGCAAATTTAACTAATCTGCTCTCAATATTCCTATCAAGGTCATTAATGTAGATGAGGAACAGCAGGGGTCCCAACACCGATCCCTGGGGGACGCCACTCCCCACCATACCTAGCTCAGATGAGATACCACTGACCACCACTTTTTGTGTTCTGTCCTGCAACCAGTTATGAATCCACTTCAGAATACCTCCTGTAACTCCAATGGAGCTCATTTTAAAAATTAGTCTCTTATGCGGTACTGTGTCAAATGCTTTCTGAAAATCCAAATATATGATGTCATAAGCCCTGCTCTGGTCATAAGTCTTGGTGGCCTCTTCAAAAAATTCCAGAAGGTTTGTCAGGCATGACCTTCCTTTACGGAAACCATGTTGGCTATCCCTCAAGATATTGTAACGTTCAAGAAATAAGTCCAGCTCATCTTTTATGAGAGATTCCAATATTTTGCACGCAATGCAAGTTAAACTGACTGGCCTGTAATTTCCTGGCTCAGTACGGTCCCCTTTCTTATATATTGGTATTATGTTACCCTGTTTCCAATCATTTGGTATTTCTCCAGTTTCTAAAGACCGTCTAAAGATGGCGGATAGCGGCTTAAAGATGATCTCACTAACTTCCCTGAGCACTCTAGGATATAAGCCATCAGGACCTTTTTTTATCTTTTTTTAGTTTATGCAACTTGTCTAATACTACGTTATCCCTAACCTCAATTTCCGCTAAATAATCTTGAGCATTGGACATGCCCTCTGGCCGAATAAAGACCCGCTCTAAGGTAAAATTCTCAACAAAGTAACCGTTTAAGGTGTCCGCAATATCCTTGTTATTATATAGCAGCGATCCATTTTTATTCTTTATGCACTTAACCTGCTCTTTGACTTTCCTTTTTTCTACTACAGTACTGAAAAGAAGCGCTTAGGGTTAGTTTTTGCCCCCTCTGCAATTTGTCTTTTATACAGTCTTCTAGCATTCCTCAGCTCTTTTTTGACCACAGCCCGCATTTTACAGTATTCGGCCTTAGTAATCTCATTGTTATCCTCTATGTACATCTTATAAAGATTCCTCTTTTCCCTCAAACTCTTTTAATAGCTGCGGTCATCCACTGAGGATTCTGCTTTTTTCAGCTTACTTTTGGACACCTTTGGAATGAATTGGCATTGTGAATCAAGTAAAACCCCCTTAAATCTGTCCCACATCTCAGTTACTGACTCACAGTCCAGGAGTGTCTCCCATTTTATTTCACTTAGATATGAGCGCATCCTGTCAAAGTTTGCTCGCCTAAAATTGAAAATTTTTGTTTTTGGAGATACCTTTTTAACTTCCCATGAAACCTCAAAATTAATAGTAGAGTGATCACTTGTCCCAAGTGGCTCCCGTACCTCAACATTGCTAATTCTATCTGGGTCATTACAGACCACTAAGTCTAAAATTGCCTTCTCTCTTGTAGGTTTATTAACATACTGCACCAAAAAATTATCATTCATGACATCTAGAAATTCTTTCTCCCCCCTACCCTGTCCTTTCACCATTTCCCAATCAATACCAGGATAATTTAAGTCTCCCATAATAATAGTCCCTCCTCCTCCACAAGCTTGCGTAATCCTCTTAAAGAGCATTTCATTGACTGTACTGTCCAAAGCTGGTGGTCGATAGCATACACCTACGTTTAAACCAGTCTCGTGTTTGCCAGTGAGCTTGACCCAGATATCTTCGCAGGGCAAGGAATGTTCAATTTCAGGAATTTCCTGCACATTTATGTTTTCGTTCACATAGAGTGCTACACCCCCTCCTCGCCTATTGCATCTATCCTTCCTAAAGAGCTTATAACCTTCTACATTATATTCATCTCCATCCTCTTCACTAAGCCATGTCTCTGTAATCCCAACTATGTCATAGCCTTCACTAATCATAACAGCCTCAAGTTCTCGAAATTTATTTTTGATGCTTCTTGCATTTAGATAAAAACATTTCAGGTTATCACGAACGCTCTTCCCCTTCGATTTCCCATGTGCCCGCTGCTCAAAGCCCCTCACCACGCTTTTTTTTTGCTTTTAAAAATATATCATCAATAGTGCGTGTAACGCTGTCAGCTTCCATCAGGGCAGTCTGCATTTCCCTCTGTGTAACACTCTCTAACCTCCCTGCCCCCCAAGTCCCTAGTTTAAATAACTCAAAGAGAATGGCACAGGGCAAGAGAGGATTCGCTTTTGTAACAGGTGATAGCTGCTGATAGTGCTACCTGATGGAAGAACAAATGTAGTGCAGTACTTAATTCATAGATTTTTGTTTGTCCTTATACATGTTTGCGCCACAGTCTGAATGTACAGAAGATGCACTATAGAAGTGATTCTGTTGTTACAAATTTGCTTTGTGCCAAGTGTGATAATATGTCTGTTGAAAATGAATATCATTTTCTTTTAGAATGTCCATTTTACCGTGATAGCAGAAATTTATTAATTCCTGGTTATTTTCACAAACCTCCCAGTACCACGAAATTTGTACAACTTATGAACTCCACTAGTGTAAAGATACTGAGAAATGTGGCTGTATATTTAAAGAAAAACCTGCCTTCTCTGTAACTGTGATTTACTTTAATTGTAAGCTCCACATACAAAAAAAAAAAAAATGAAATGTTGATAAACTTTGAAATCTGGGCCAGGTGGCCTCAATTACTGAAATAAAGAACTAAAGTATACCTGTTTGCCTGCACTATAGTGTATTTTCCATTGTGTAGGAAAAAACATTGAGAATGAAGGAGATTTATGTTGTTAAATCAATATTTCAATTGTTACAATGTAATTGATTGAAATCTTGAATAAGAACTTCAGATGTTGTTTGATCTGACTTGTATTTGTTCCCAATATCACATGGCTACACATGTGCTTGGAAATGTAACAACCCCACTCTGACGTGTTACTTCAATGAGATTGATGCTTGATATTAGTTAATTAAATCTATTAAAGAATTGACTAAAGTATGCATGAGTGAGCATCCAGGTCCTTGTTTTTTTTTTGGTTTATTTTCTTCAGTTGTGAGCATTATTATTCAATTCATACCTACCCCTGGCTAATATTCCTATAAGTTACATACTGCTTTGCTCTACATTACTTAGTACATCTTCCAAGTTTATTCCAGAATAACCTCAATGGTGATGTATAATAAAGACTCTCATAATCAGACGGGATGCTTCTCCTGTCAATGCTTGTTTATGTAGACAATTTCATTGTCTATGAAAGTCAATGTCATTATGTTGATGTGTCCACTGGAATAAAACTCAAGAAACTGGACAGCATGTCATTTTCAGCATTGTCTCACAAAGTTGTCGGCGTATGATTTCCTACTCGCATCCTGTCTTCAAATATTCAGTTGTCAAATAATTCTCTGCCTTCCTTAACTACCTAGTGTAACTGTCAAGTCTTTTAAAGATGTAAAACACTTTTTGTGGTTGATTCATTCATGCTGAAATTATGCTGCTTGGCTGAAACAATGATGCATCAGTCTGCATCTTATTCAAATTCCATTTTTGTTTTTCTTTTGCCTACTCACTGCACTTGCTATGTTTGGCCCTTTAGTCTTTAAATCTTGATTTTAGGGAGAGGCAGATCCTGATGTGAAGTCATTGGCTTTTGTGATATTCATCTACTCTCATAAATGTCTGTCCATTTAACTGAGAGGGGCCATAGTGCAGGGTAGTCGGGACACAAATGTTTATTGGAGGGATATTGAGTAAGTAGATAACCAAAAATCTTGGCAGTATCATTGAGATGAACAAATAATTGGCACGTACTGGCAAATGTCACATTATTCTTGAATTATTCATGCAATCCCACAATATTCCGCATCCTACAAAAACGCAGATGTAAGAGGATTAAAAGGTGGTCATTGATTATTTCTGCTAGTTGAAAAACACAAGGCTTGCAGTCATGTTCCCCTCCCATCTGCAATATGCATTAGTTCTACATCATTGTCTCCATAGGAGGGCCATTTAAGTTCTGTAATTTGGATACAAAATGCACAATATCTTTCTTGAGTAAATGATCATCTTCAGATTGCCCCATGCCAAATAGTTGCATATCTTGGAGGTTTTCGTTGCTCACATCAACTTCATGGTTAAAGTAGTAACTTAGGAGGTCACAGGAGGCCCTGGTAATGATAAACTCCCTTGCGGACCATGGAAAAAGACTTGAGTGACACAAAACTGGAGTTCAGTTTGGTTTAGTTTATTAGGGTCCCCATAAGCCATTATCCAGGGCAACAAACTACTCTGCCTGGGGTCCACACTTAACAGAAGATACATACAGCCCAAGAAATCAAGATAAAATAAAAACTATTTTCCACAGCATGAAAACAAAAACAGAACAAAAAAAAACAAACCTAGAAAAAACCCAAACAACAACAAAAAACAGAGCTTTGTAAAAATCACAAAAAAACACAAAGTGGCATCTCTAATTGGACCATAGAGAGGCTACGCTCTATGGTATATCATACCACCTTCCTTCTGGTAATTGACAACATTTTGCATATAATATCCAACACTATACTGTTGGAAAACATGGGAGGCAGTAGCAGAGAGGCCCTGTAAAGTGTTACACCTTGTGGAGGGCCAATACACAACCTTGTCTGGTCCCTCTGCTTTTCGGGTATACTTCTTTGATCATTTCCTTTGTGTGATTACTTTATCACCCCTCAGCCCACATCCCAATTTCCCCTCACCTTGTTTGTCTCTCCCCCACCTCCTATCATTCTAGGCAAATTACCATTTGTTCCTTTGCATCCTTTGACCTTTCAGCTATAAGTGTTAACTTTTTTCCTCAGTTGTTGGTTCTTCCTCATCTGTACTTGGGGAACAGACCCACTAGTTCCTCTACTCTATTAAACTATCCACTTTGCAACTACGACGTGCCGCATTTATTTTTCTACTTACAGCATGGGCAGCATGGTGGCATAGTGGTTAGCACTGTTGCCTCAAAGCAAGAAGGTCGTGGGTTCGATTCCGGCCTGGAGCCTTTCTGTGTGGAGTTTGCATGTTCTCCCCATGTTCGCATGGGTTTTCTCCGGGTACTCTGGTTTCCCCCACCCACAAAAACATGCATCATAGGAATGCTCCAACCAGTACCCCGGACCAAGGAACTGGCTTTAGAACTGCAGTTGGTCCCTGGGCGCTGCTCTGTGGCTGCCCACTGCTCCTAACTATAGGATTGGTCAAACACAGAGGACAAATTACCCCACGGGGTTCAATAAAATGTATCTCATCTTAAAAGTACGGAGGAATACAACGAACTCTTAAAAAAACCCCACATATACCATTTACAAAATTAACATTTATTCACATTTAATTCCCTTAACAATTATGAACTATGCAGATGTCCTCTCCTCTGGTTTTTAAAAGTGGGGATCCCAGTACATTTTACTGTAAAGGTACAGAGTTTCCTCAATTTATTATGTGGGGCTAAAGAATACCAGTGGCTGAATGAATGAAGGTAAATTAATGTCTTATGAAGAGTTAATTGACATTTATGGCAAGGTTTGCCCTTTCCAAAAGTTCAATCAATTGGTTGCAGCCATACCGCTAAAATGGAAAAGAAGAATTGTTAAAGAAAGTAACAAGGAGCTTGTCTGTCGACCATCTATGAAAAACTTTCAGTGGATTGAAAAAACCAGTATAAAAAGAATGATATATAAGTTTCACCTTGAATTAAGAAAACTGAGAGCCAATCCTCACAATATTCTAGATTCTTGGGAGTATATGCTAGATTTTCCGATTCCATGGAACCAGGTTTTCAATTTAATTTACAAAACAACAATAGATTCGTCAATAAGATTTTTTCAGTTTAAATTAATATATAAATTTTTGGCCACTCAAAAGATGCTTCATATTTGGGGAATTGAGGGGTCCAACTTGTGTAGATTCTGTGGCGAAGAGGTTGAGTCAGTGGATCATTTATTTTGGTACTGCTCCTGTGTAGGTCTGTTTTGGACAGGGGTTCAGACGTGGCTGGCTTTATATTCTAGTAATTGGTGGCCTAGCAGCGAAGCTGTGAAGGCAGCCATTGTGTTTGCAGCTTTTCTTATTATTGGTGGCCTAGCAGCAAAGCTGCGAAGGCAACCATTGGATTAGTACCTTTTCTTATTATTATTATGCTTCCGCTTTCTTCTGCTATTGAAATCTATGGCAGCCCCAAAACCTGTGCCCGGGAAAATTTTATAAACTTGGCAGACTTGTTTGGGACAGTCCCCTGATCACTCACGCTAATTTTCATGCCCCTTGCTTAGAAGCTCTATCGCAACCAACAGGTCAAAATTTGACATATATTTACCTTCATAACTTCTGACCCGTTCTTCCGATTTTCACACATGAGGTACTGATGGAATCCTTGGGCCGAGCTGAGTTCAACGCACCCTATGACGTCATTTTTCACCATATTGGATTTTCCGCCATTTTGAATTTTAGAAAAAACCTTCAAAAAGTTTCACGGGTCACAAATTTTGTCTGATTTGTGCGAAAAGTGTTTATGCACTCTGCAGACCGAGCCGCACAAAAGATACTAAAAGCCGTTTCGATATTCCAAACTGTTTGCCCGTAACAGCCAATGAAATTTGGCGGCAAAGCCGCCAAACAGGAAGTAAGGCCATATCTCAGCAACGCTTGGACCCATCAACCCCAAACTTAGTACATGGTCTCAGTACCTGCCCCTGGGGAGGCAAAAAAAAAATTCTGTGGCGTTTGACCTCTAGGGGGCGCTATAAATAGCAAAAATATGTTTTAGCTTATATCTCTTGATCTGTTTTGACTAACTCCTTAATTCCAGTGTCTGCTGATGCTGTTGGACATCCCTAGGCAAATCCTAGAAGATTGTGTATGTCAGCTTTAGAATTTGGTGGCCATTTTGAATTTTGTCCAAAATTCACTTAAATTAACAGAAATTACACAACCGTTCATAGTTCAATGTTGAAATTTGGCACTCTCGTTCAGAAAAGTACCTTGATCAGGCTCACCAAATTCCATGCCCCTACCTCAAAAGCTCTAGCGCCACCAACAGGTCAAAGTTGAGGTACTGTCGGAATCCTTGGGCCAAGCCGAGTTCAACGCACCCTATGACATCATTTTCCCCCATATTGGATTTTCCGCCATTTTGAATTTTAGCAAAAACCTTTCAAAAGTTTCACGGGTCACAAATTTTGTCCAATTTGAGCAGACCATGGTTCATAGAATCTGCAGACCGAGCCCCACAAAAGATACTAAAAGCCGTTTCGATTTTCAAAATTGTTTGCCTGAAATAGCCAATGAAATTTGGCGGCAAAGCCGCCAAACAGGATGTGAGGCCTTATCTCAGCAATGCTTTGACAAAGCAACCCCAAACTTAGTTCATAGTCTCAAGATGTGCCCCTGAGGAGGCATAAAAAGTTCTATGAGCTTTGACCTCTGGGGGGTGCTATCAATTGCAAAAACATTTTTTAGCTGATATTTCTTGATCTGTTTGAACATCAGCCTTAATTACAGTGTCTGCTGATGCTGATGGACATCGCTAGACTGATCCTGGAAGACTGTGTATGAAAGCTTCAGAATTTGGCAGCTATTTTGAATTTTTTCCAAAATGCGCTTAAATTTACGGAAATGACATGCTTTGTCCTATCATTATGACGCTTGGCTCAAATGATCTTCAGACCAAGCCTGAGAAGTTCGTTGAGTTTTGTATCTCAAGTCCAAACCATTTGGCCATAACAGCCAATTGAAATCATCCGAGAAGCCGCCTAACAGGAAGTAGGCCCATATCTCAGCAATGCTTTGGTGTATCAACACGAAACTTGGTATAAGGACATTTCAACACGGTCGTGAGAAGAACTATTTAATATGGTGACCTTTGACCCCTGGCAAATATTCAAGTCACAGGAAGTGAAGTCACATCTTAGCAACAATTTCAAATAACCAAGCCAAACTCATCAGTTGAACTCCGGACCTCATCTCTATATTGGCACATGAAGTTGTTGGTCATTCATCCTCAAAACCAGTCAAAATTGATCGTGAATCAGTAAAAAAGGAAACAGGCACATTAATCTGTCGATTAGTCGTGATTTAATCTTAAATTTCTCAACTGTGCAGGCAGTGATGTATCTGACAGTTCAACCGTGTTACCGTGGTCACCTGGGCTGACCTGCTACGCTGCTAGGCCACCCCATTGCTGCTTGCAGCTATATTTGGTGGCCTAGCAGCGAAGCTCAAAAGGCAACCATTGTATTTCTACCTTTTCTTATTATTATTGGTGGCCTAACAGCGAAGCTGAGAAGGCAACCATTGTATTTCTACCTTTTCTTATTATTATTATTGGTGGCCTAGCAGTGAAGCTGCAAAGGCAACCATTGTTTTTCTACCTTTTCTTCTTCTTATTATTATTATCTCCGCCAAGGAGATAATGCGATCGAGTCGGTTTATTTATTTGTCCGTCCTTCTGTCTGTCTGTGGACAGGATTTCTCGGAAACTACTGGACGGATCTTCATGAAATTTTCACCAGAGGCAGATCTTGGGCCAGGGACGACTCCATTAAAATTTTGTGATGATCCGGATCCGGATCTGGATTCTGGATCCGGATCTGTATTTACACTCTTAGTGGCATATCTTGGAAACTACTTGATGGATCTTCATGAAATTTTCACCAGAGATAGATCTTGGTCAAGGGACGACTCCATTAAAATTGTGTCATGATACAGATCCGGATTTGGATTCTGGATCCGGATCTGTATTTACAATCTCAGTGACATTTCTCCGAAACTAATGAACAGATTTTGATCAAATCAAGGTGGAAAGTGATTGCGCAATCTCACCCGAGGGTAATTGTCCAGTCAGGCCACTGATTTCGCTATCACACCCGGCAGCCATTGTCCAATCACACGCCAGCGGCGGTGATTATCCAATCACACCACTGATTGCGCAATCATACACCGGCAGTGATTGTCCAATCACGGCCTGTGCAGTCACATCGATAGGAGCGCAATCACACGATCATCACGTGACATCGCGGGTCACGTGATGATCATGTGATCGCTCTGTACTTTGATGACGGCTTTGGAGAATGGATACTTCAAACATACAAAAATCCCATTTAAACTTGTCACATGGGTGGTCCTGAAATCTTCCAAAGAGAAAGATCTTGCATTTGTATCAACATCATCCCTTGGCGGAGATCAGAAATCTCGGATTGCTCTTGTTATTACTATTATTATTATGCTTCCGCTTTCTTCTGCTATTGAAGTCTATGGCAGCCCCAAAAACCGTACCCGGGAAAATTTTATCGATTTGGCACACTTGTTCAGGACATTCCTTTGATCACTCACACCAATTTTCATGCCCCTTGCTAAGAAGCTCTAGCGCCACCAACAGGTCAAAGTTTGACATATGCTTACCTTCATAACTTCTGACCAGTTCATCCGATTTTCACAATTGAGGTACCGTTGGAATCCTTGGCCCAAGCTGAGTTCAACGCTTACTACGACGTCATTTTCCGCCATATTGGATTTTCTGCCATTTTGAATTTTAGCAAAAACCTTAAAAAAGTTTCATGGGTCACAAATTTGGTCCGATTTGGGCAAAACATGGTTTATAGAATCTCCAGACCGATCCGCACAAAGAATACTAAAAGCCATTTCAAAATTCAAAACCGTTTGCCCGTAACAGCCAATGAAATTTTTCGGTGAAGCCGCCAAACAGGAAGTGAGGCCATATCTCAGCAACGCTTTGTTGTATCAACCCCAAACTTGGTATATAGTCTCAGTCCCTGCTCCTGGGGTGGCATAAAAAATTCCGAGATGTTTGACCTCTAGCGGGCGCTATAAATAGCAAAAACATGTTTTAGCTGATATTTCTTGATCTGTTTGGAGTAACACCTTAATTCCAGTGTCTACTGATGCTGTTGGACATCCCTAGGCATATCCTAGAAGATTGTGTTTGTACGCGTCAGAATTTGGCAGCCATCTTGAATTTTGTTCAAAATTTGCATAAATTTACAGAAAT